AAGAGATGCCGATGTTGACATGACAGAGATGTTAAAATTATCTGACAAAGTTTTAAAGCAGCCACAGTTAAATTTCTTTAATGAGCAGTTACAAACATGCCTGTACCAACCCCCCCCCCCAAAAAAACAGAAAGCCACAGCAAAGAGATAAAAAGTCCCAGCAAAGAAATAGAAGATATAAAGAAGAACCAAATAGAACTTTAGAACTGAAAAATATAATTACTGAAATATAAGCTCAGTGAATAGGCTCAATCATAGAATGCAGGGTACAGAGGAAATCATCAATGAATGGAAAAGAGAACAGTAGAGATTATTCAATCTGAATAGCAAAAATAAGATAGACTGAAAAAATAGTGTCTTAGAGATATGTGGAACTATAATGAAAGACCTAACATTCTTGTCATTGGAGTTCAAAAACAAGAGGAGAAAGATGACAGGGCTGAAAAAGCTACACATAGAAATAATGAACAAAAACTTCCCAAATTTGTCAAAAAACATAAACTTTCAGATTCAAGAACCTGAGTAAACCCCAGATGGGATAAACCAAAAGAAATTCATGCAAAGACACATTAAATTAAATTTTCCCAAAACTGAAAACAAAGAAAAAATCTCGACAGTGGCCAGAGAAAAAGGACACCTTACATATAGAGAATAATCAATTAAAATGATAGCTGATTTATCATTAGAAATGATGGAGGCCAGAATAAAGTGGCACAATATTTTTCAAGTGTTGAAAGAAAAGCTCTGTCAACCTAGAAACCTATATACAGCAAAAATATCCTTCAGGAATGAAAGTGAAATCAAAATATTCTTAGACAAAGAAAAATTAAGATAATCTATCACTCTCAGACCTGTTATAAAAGAACGGCTTAAGGAAGCTCTCTAAACAGAACAAAAACTGTAAAATAAGGAACCTTGAAATATTGGGGAAGAGGAAAGAACAAGTTAAGAAAAATAAGGAAAATACAATAAGATTTCCCTTTTCTCTTGAGTTTTCTAATTTTTAAGATTTTTATTTATTTATTTATTCATTCAAGACACAGAGATACAGAGAGAGAGAGAGAACATGACCAGGGGGAGAAGCAGAAGGAGGGGGAGAAGCAGGCTCCCTGCTGAGCAGGGAGCCCGATGTGGGGCTCGATCCCAGCACACTGGGATCATGACCTGAGCCGAAGGTAGACATTTAACCATCTGAGCCACCCAGGCGCCCTGTTGAGTTTTCTAACTTTTTATGATGAAAGCAAAAATATAATTTAACATTGTGTGATATGATTCTAAAAGTATGCTGAGGAAATATTTAAGGCAATTATATTATAAATAAGGGAGTGCAAAGGAATCTAAAGAGAGGTAAGATTTTAATACTTCATTTGCACTTGTAAAATAATGACACCAGTAAACTGTGTGTGAACATATATATATTCACACACACACACAGACACCTCACACTTACATTGACATGTATAATGTAGTATCTAGAATAACCACTTAAAAAGCTACACAAAGAGATATACTCAAAAACATTACACATTAATAAAAATGTAGTCTTAAAAAAAGTCTAGTAACCCACAGAGAGGAAGATGAAAATAGAGATATGAAAAACTAAGAGAACAAACAGAAAATAAAAATTAAATGGCAGTTTAAACCCTAACATATCAATAATTACATTAAATGTAAATGGCATAAATACATGTTAAAATACAGAAGCTGGCAAAGTGGTTTGTAAAACATGACCCAACTATTAAAAAAAAAAAAAAAACCATATATCATACAAACATTAATCAAAGGAAAGCAGGAGTGGATATATTAATATCAGATAAAGTAGACTTCAAGGAAAAAAAAAATTTACCTGGAAGAGTGACATTTTATAATGATAAAAGGACAAAGATGCAAATAGACACAGAAATCCTAGATGTGTAGGCACTAAATAACATAGCTGCAAAATGTGTGAGGCAGACACTGATAGAACTGAAACAGAAAACATACATCCACTATTACACTTGAAGACTTCAACACTCCTCTCTCAACACTTTATAGAAAAATTGAAGAGAAAATCGGCAAGGATATAGAAGAAGCCAACAGCACTATTAGCCAACAGTATCTACTCAGCATTTTTAGGACACCCAACAACAGCAGGACATATTATTTTTAAGTGCACATGAATCATATCCTATGGTAGAAAGCTATAAAATAAACCTTAGAAATTTAAACTAACTGAAATTATGCAAGTGTGTATTCTGACCACAATGGAATCAAACTAGAAATCAATAAGAGAGTAATTACAGAAAAATTTTCATACATTTGAAAACTAAGCATAATCCATGGGTCTAAAAGGTAGTTTCAAGAAAAATTAAAAAAAAATGTATATACAAACTATCAAAATTTGTGGGGCACAGCTAAAGCAGTACTAAGAAGGAAATTTATAGAACTAAATTTATACATGAAAAATGTCTCAAATCAATAATCTAAAAAGGAAAGAAAGAAAGAAAGAAAGAAAGAAAGAAAGAAAGAAAGAAAGAAACCTAAAGCAAACAGAAGGAAGAGAATAATGCACATAAGGGCAGAAATCAATGAACTTGGAAAAAGAAACGCAATCAAGAAAATCAATGAAACCAAGAGCTGCTTCTTCAAAAAGATCAATAACATTGACAAACAGCTAGCAAGCTTGAGAAAGGAAAAATATGTGAGAATACAAAAATGATCAATGTTAGAAATGAAGCAGGGGATACCACTACAGACCCTGCCAGCATCCCAAAAGATAATATGGAAATATTATGAACAACTTTGCCCATATAACTTTGACAATGTATTTGAAATGGACTGCTTTCTTGAAAAACACAAACTACTCTTCCTCACCCAATATGAAATAGAATGAGATAAATGACTGCAAAAACCCATCACTATTAAGAAGTTTGAATTCAACTATTAAATAATTGAGTTCAAAGTCTTTATAACAAGTTAATAATGTTCATTTCATACACATTTGAGCTAAGAATATAAGGAAAATCATACCAATTATCAGTTTACATTCTTTAGTAGTCTGACATTATATTCCATCTTTTCCTTTTAAAATTTCATAGTTTTAAATTTACATTTAGATTTACATTTAAATCTATGCTGCATTCTGGGTTAATTTTTGCATAGGTGTGAGGTTTATGTGAGCTCAGGATAGACATTTTTCCTCTAATTTTGGTATATTTATATCTAATTATCTGTCTTACCTTGGGCATCACTTGAATTCCTTGAGTGTGTGATTAGAAAAAGTTGCATGAGATTATTTTATGTTCCTTTCCTTTTAACTATGACATTCTTTGATTCAAATCCAGAGTGTTTCATCAGAACTAGATTAACAGGCTGGATTACCAGGGTATCTTTGGCAAATTGGATTTTCCAAAGATGGTCACACCAATATTAATCTTATCCTACAAGCTCTTCTTACAAAGTAATACTGACAATCCTCTAGTAAGAGATAGAGTCTCTGGTGCATCCCCTCAAATCTGGGTATACCTTTGTAACTGCTTTACCTATGAGAATATGGCAAAATTGACACTTGCCTGACTTCTAAGGGTAGGTTGTAAAAGACAATATGGGTTCACCCAGAACATACTCTTTCTTTTTTCTTTGTCTCCATCTTTGTTTCTATCTCTCTCTCTCTAAGAACTTGGGCCTTTGGAGATCTTATCTACCATGTTAGTACTTCTGAAGCTGCCATGCTGGAGATCACACAAGACACCACACAGAGTTACAAAAAGATACACAAGGAGCCCCTATGATTCCCAGATGTCCAAGTTTTCCCAGCTGGAATTCCATACATATGAGTAAAGAAGCCTTCATGACACTAGTCTTAGGTACCATTAGACTGAAGCTTCATGAAAGACTCTAAACCAGAACCACAGAGCTGAGCTGCTCTTAAATTTCTGATTCATTAAGATCAAGAGAGATAATCAATGAATATTGTTCTCTTAAGTTACTGAGTTTTGAGTTAGTTTGTTACATAGCCACTGTTACTAGAACAAGATCCATCTACAGGATTGCTAAAACATCACTGTGAATGTAGCAAGATCAAGAAAGATCACGAAAGTTGTATTTACTAGAATGCTTTGTAGTGCATGAGTTTATGAGTGAATCTAGTAAATCTAGGTTGTACTGAAAGCTACATCATAACAACATCAACATTTGAGGGGTGCATATTCATATTTCTAAAGCATAGAGTCAGAGGAATAAGGTAGCAGAATTAACATATTTTCTAATCACATCTAAAACCAACAGAGTAGGGTTAGTTCATTTCATATAGCCTATTGAGCAAGACTGTAAAAAGCAATGGACTTGGGAGAGCTCATCATATAAAGGGAACTCTTCCCCCTACAGGATGCAAGAACCCTGATCTCAAGGACATGTGTTCCCACTGTAGAGGTGCAAAATCTTTCTCTGTGCTAAGTCTTGAAGATGAGACTCTAGCACTCCAGTGAAACCTGGGTACCAGATTCAAGGTATTGTGGTAGCCTAGACAGCAGTCAGGTAAAGAGAGTAATATAATCTGGTTAAATAATCTGACACAATAGATTTTTCAGACTGTATTATTGTTCAAAATAATTCATTCCCAGGGGCGCCTGGGTGGCTCAGTGGTTGAATGACCGACTCTGGATTTTGGCTGGGGTTGTGATCTCAGGGTGGTGGGATTGGCCGGTGTCAGGCTCTGCTCTCAGCATGGAGTCTGCTTGTCCTTCTCCCTCTGCTCCTCCCCCTGCTTGCTCTCTCTCTCTCTAAAGTGAATAAATAAAATCTTTTAAAAAATAATTCACTCCCATCAATGTAAGTTTATATATCCTTGTCTTTGTTGTGTAACTGGCAGTGCCCCTGTATAAGGGGCATATATTTTCCTGTGTCATTGGTAAATCTGTCCCTTGTAATCTGAGTAAATGTGATATATGACATGTTGGAACAGAAGTTTTAAATATGATCACATGGTTCAGCTTAGTCTCTTGCTTCTGCTTTCTGCTTTGAGAATGGTACATTCCAGATAAGGGTTGCTCCTTTAGCCTGCAAGTCTAATTGAGAAGACAGATGGAGTGGAGCCATTGCTGGAGCAGAACACTACTGGCCTAAAGTTTACATGTAATGTGAGCAAGAAATAAGCCTTTGTGTTATATGACACTGAAATGTTGGAGTTTGTTATTCCACCAAAGGCACTAAGTACACGTGCCTATGAGGACACTAATAGATGTGCACTTATCTGTGGCTTTTTAAAAGGATTAAAAGAATATGTAAGTATTTGGGTATATATATATGGAAGTTTTTCTAGATAAATTAAATAATTTTATGTTGGATAATTTATTAGTCATGTTGAATAATCCCATAATAGATCTAAGTAATTTGGAAAAGCAATCTTTGGTTGGTTATTTGAAAGCCAGTGAGTGGAGTGAATTTAATGTACTGGTTTAGATTTGACAATGCCTTTCAAAGACAGTACTATAAACAACTGGAGGGAATATTTTTCTTTGAGTTGATAAGGGATTGTATTATTAAACCCTGATTTCAAGTGATAGAAACTCAAATCATACTAGCTTAAGCAAAATATAATCATCATCATCATAAGATTGTTTATAAATAAATAAAATGTTTCTGTGTGTTCATGCTGCACATGTCTGTGTGTGTGCTAGAGGAGGTAGATCAATTGGCTTATATAACTAAATACATAGTTTAGGGAATGGTTGGAATCAACATGTCAAACAATGTCTTCAGTGTTTTCTGTCTGTCTGTTTCCCTCTTTCTTCTTCCTTTCTCTGTTTTTCCCCTCTCCTTTATGTTTATATTGCTCTGATCCATCTCTGCCTGTCTCTAAACTACACCTCCCTTTGTTTTGGCTCTGTTCTTAGACCTGGGGGCAGGAGTCCCATCAGAAGCCACAAAGACTGAAAATACACAATGAGATTGTATAAAGGAAAATTATGGTGCTATTTTCATAAAAGGGAATAGATGATAGGCAGACGAACTTTTTTTTCAAAAATCTATTTCAGAGGTAATAGAGCATGCTCAATATAGTTCAGATGTTTGCTAAATTGCTCTTTAGGAAGAATGGAAAGAGTTAAATGCAGGTCACTTATTTTGCTGAGCAGAGTATGCCAGTTTGGGGCCAGAGCTGAATTGTTCAGGATTACAAAGGAGAAAAAGGAAAGCCACCTTGTCCCAAGCTCAGTAAACAGCTCTCTGCTAAAGGAATATTTAACAATTATTTAAAAGTATCAGTTTGAAGAGGGGTCAGTGCAAACTTAGGAGCTTGGCAGGAGAACTCAACTTGCTTCAGCACTATCTCTAGAACCTTGGGTTCTAAACTCAACATTACGGGGCTTTGATATTCAAGATTGAAGCAGAAAAAATTAGAGAACTCTGTATCAGAAAATGGTATCAGTAGGTCACAAACCTTTTCCCACTTTAATTCTTTTGGTAGTATTTTGTGTGCATTATTCAGTGCCTTTGTCTTTATTTAAAAAATTCAAATATGTAAAAAGCTTTTTAAATACAGTCTCCCAGGTGTCTGCGGCAGCCTCAAGCCCCTTTTCTTTCTTCTATTGTTCTCTTAATTGTTACTTCACAACAATTAGTTGAGTATTCATATGCAAATATATGCAAATGAAAGGGGGCTCAATCTATGAGATTTTCACTACTAGTTAATTTCTACTTTTGGGTCTACCGATAAGATCTGCAGAACCGATTTTTTTTATACCCTTGCTCCTTGGGGCATAAAAGGGAAAGGGTGGCATGAAAGCTACCTAAATATGTCAAAAGCTCTGCCATTGTTAAGATCCTTCTTCAGCTTGGAAAGTGTTTTTTAATTGTTTTTTCCCTCATCTGCCTTGCTTTCTCTCACAGAGAATGTGGTGTTGAAGCTTCTGTTATTTGCTACCGACTAGTTATGCATCATCTAGAATGACATTTGGAGTGTTATAATCAATATGGGGATAGGCTGGGAAAGGAAAGGAATAACCAACAGAAAAATAAATGCAATTTGATTAATGATTGATTGATCGAAACCATTGTTTCAAGATATCATAAAATACTAATATCAAGAATGGAGGAAAATCTGATTAATAAATTAGCAATATTTTTTAAGATTCTGAAAAAGATCAGATAATCTGTGGGATGGAGGTGGTAGTTAAAATCTAATGATTATGATTTTCCTTGATATAACAGATTAAAGATGTCTGCAAAGTCTTTGCTTGTTCTACCCTTAAGAGAGGAAATCTATTTTCTGTCCCCTTGAATCTGAGCTTGACTTAAGTGATTTGCCTGACCAAGGAATACAGTGAAAGTCGTGTTCTGGGACTTCTGAAACTAGGCCAAAAGGCATCTTGCAGCTTTCAATGGACTGAAAGAACATTCACTCTAGAAACTCAGCTTATCTGCTCTAGAGAAGTCCAAGCAGCCTATGGATAGACCCTTGTGGATCGCAAGTGAAGTTACCCTACCAAAAGACTAAGCTAAATTCTCAGCCAACACCAGCACCAACTTGCTAAACATGTGAATGTGCCATCTTGAAAGAGGAATATCTAGCACGTTCCAACCCACTCCAATTAACATCTCATGGAGCAGAGATGGGAAACCCAGCTAAGTACTTCCCAAATTCCTCATCCACAAAATCATGATCCAAATAGATTATTTGGGATAGTTTGTCACACATCAACAGGTAACAAGAACAATAGATACAGATTAAAAAGAGCGAACAAACAAACAAAAAACAGCTGGATTTGTGAAAGCAGTCATACTACATGCAGAATTTCCTTTGCAGAGCTAAATAGGTGATATATTCACAGATGGTTTAAAAACAGGAAGCAATTAAATCCAGTTTACTAATGCTAAAACGAGGTTTTAATCGGTAAGGTTTCCTTCTCCACATTTAACCTTGGCACTTTCAGTCTCTGTTCACTAGTGGAAGCCCTGGAGGAGAGGGAAGAGTACATTGGTGAGGATAAATGTGCCGGCCAAGACTCCCAATGTCCTCTGCACAACCTACAGATGCCTCAGTGACTAATCTTCATCTGCAGATAATTCAGAAACAGGGCAGATCCCTTGGATTTGAAAATGGGAACTAAAACTCATCCATCTTCTGCTGATGGCTAAACAGGCTATTATTAGCAGGCCAGATGATTTAATAGGCCAGGGATGGAAAGGCACATGTTGATAATTAAACACTCCAGCGTTCCATTCCAAAGCAAGTGTCCTTTAATAACATGACTAAGGTTTGTTTGCTTTTCAGACCCTTCTCTTCCACTTCCAAGACTTGAAATTGTGTTCAGGCATCAGTGATGGGTAGAAGTGATGTGTGTCAAACCAATTCTCAATTGTTTGGGCGATATGTTACATGTTACATGGAATTACCTGTCCTTAGTCAGCTTAGTATATTCATCCATATATGAATTCCAAAAAGAAACTGAACCACTCCTTTGGCAAATATGAATTGAGGTCTAATACATTGTAGAAGAGTGGTATAAGAACTGTGTTTTACTTCTGGCTCTTCAGAGTGGCTGTTTGACCTTGAGCAGGTTAAAATATCTTTGGTGTCTTTGTCTGATCCTTTGAAAGGGAAGAATACTTGATTCTAAGGTTCCTTGAAGCACTAAAGTTTGCTCATTCTATGGATTTCACTATCAAACCAAATTCTTCTCTCAGTTAAAAATTGGCTTACCTAGTGGTTGAATTAATTGGAAATAGGTTGAGTTAATAAGAAGTAGATTTTTTTTTTTTTGCTTTAAGCATATACATCGATTTTTCCAGCCCTCTTTCTCTACCATGTTACCTGACATTGTTTTTATTTATTTTTTTACTTTTTGTTTTTTTTACCTGACATTCTTTTAAACAATAATATTTTTATAATAGTAAATATCTATTTTGCTCATAAATATGTGCCAAGCACTGTGCTAAAAGTTTTAAAAATGTAGTCTGTTGCATTTCTCATGATAACTCATTGAGCTGAGATATAATTAGTCTTACTTTATAGAAGAGATGTTTGGGTTTTAGTGAAACTTAGTACTGGACACAAGAGTGGTGGAGCCAAGACTCAAATCCAGGTCTGTGTGATGCCAGAGCCCATACTCTAATGAATTTGTCCTACAACTGTTACTTTAATGCCTACAGTCAGCCTGAAGACAAGAAGAAGCTTTTTAAACAACAACAAAAAATTAAATAAGTACACACACACACACACACACACACCTATTACACCAAGTCAGCAAGCTCTATGAGAAGGGCTCTTGTGCATGGGGGTGATGTTTGCATTGATCTTTGATGATTCTTTTCCATTCTCAGCTTAGAATAGGCTTCCAGGAGGAATTGAACTAACTATGTAGGGAAAGAAAGTAAAATACTTTTCCAGAAAAATATCCTTCCTCCTTTTTTGAAGGGATGTTATTAATGTTATTTTCAGTACATTGCAGTACTTCCAGTGAAGGGACTTTATTTTTTAAGCTGGAGAACAGCCATCTGGACATTGCTGTCTGTTTTCTGTTTCTTGAGTTACAAACTCAGATTGTTCCTTGATAATACACTTCCATTTTTCTGAGAAAGTCACCACTATGAACTTTTAGTTAAGTAAATGTAGAACAAATCTATACCTATTCTTCAGAAGAATGTGCATCTGAAGCATGTCTTTTTGACTGAATTAGGGCTTAAGCTCAGGCTGAGTGAACCTTTGGTGTTCCTCCATGTACACAACTATAAAGAGCTGAGAGAACAGGAATTTTTACATAAACAAACAGATCTCTTTGAAGAGTTTAGGTGTTTGCAAGCGTTCAGAAAACATTGATGGGTTGAAGTGATCTCGACTGACCAGAAGTAGACAAGGGAAAATGGACTATAGCAGACTTCAACCAAATCCATCTGGCTCCTGTTATGGACTGAATGTTTGCATTCCCCCAATTTGTATGTTGAAGTCCTAATGCCCAATTTAACAGTGTTGGATATAGGGTCTTTGGGAAGTAATGGGGTTAGTTCACGAGGATGGTATTAGTGCCCTTATAAAAGGAGAAAGAAATTCTCTCTCTCAATCTCTCTCTCTCTCTCTCTCAATCTCTCCCCATGTGTCTATGCACTGAGGAAATGTCATGTGTAGATATGGCAAGAAGTCAGTTGTCTGCAACTGAAGAGAGACTTCACCAGGAACTGAATTAGCTGGCACCTTGACCTTGTACTTCTCAGCATCCAGAACAGGGGTTTCTGTTGCCTAAGCCACACATTTATTTTGTTATGGAAGCCAGAGCAGACTAAGATA